TTTGATAGTGCCACCTCTTTGCTGATCATGTTCTCCTGATACTTTGTCAGTTTTCCAGATTTGCGATTTGAAGTTTGAAATTCTCGGAAATCCAATCCTTGAAATTTCAGATAGCCTAACGAAACAGTAACAAGTTAACCGCCGCGCCAACTCGCAAATTCGCAATTTAAATAAAACAAATAAACTCGCAAAATTCGCGGCGAGAGTTCTCTGCGAGTTTTGAGTTTTCTCTGAGAGTTTTTTGTGAGTTCTGCGATTTCTCTGCGAGTTCCCCGAGAGTTTTCATGCGCAGAGAACTCGGAAAATTGTCAGCGAGAGTTCTCTGCGAGTTCCTACGGTTGTATATTGTATTCCTAAGGAAACTAATAAAACAAACCAAATCTAGTTCGAGATACAAGTAGCTAAATTATGAAACGAAACTATAAGTCGAATTACGAAAAACATGTAGAATAATCAAAGTATAATCTAAGTGTAATCTCATTGTTTTCACTATTTTATTCCAAACAGAACGAACCTATTGATAAGAATGTATGTAAAAAAAGTTCAGTAATCGTTACATAGAACAATTGCATAGAACATTGCATTTTATATGAATTAATATAATTTACAGCCATCTATACGTAGGACATAAGGTTCACCCTGTATAATGTGTATACATACAATTAATGTTTATAAACTTATAAATGTTCTGATTGTAAATGGATATGTGGAATGTACTAAACAAAAATAATAAATAATAAACCTTAATTAACTAACATTGCCCAATTTCTAACGAGCACGGTACTGTTCCCCTTCTCTTTAACAAAAATTCAACCAATATAAACATAGTAGAGTGAAAGATCCGTGCCCACACATTTTTACTTTTCTTTTTCTAGGTCCCGAAACACGAAAGATCAAAGGAATCTTACCGCATGCTCCGTCCAGTACTATATGTCGATGGTATCGCTATGGCCGGTGCCTGCAATGGCCGCGTTCAGCAGACACAACTGTTGAGTGAGCGCTCAGTATGATTAATACTTTTAGATCCAGCCAATCATATTAAGAAATCATTGAGTGCTCACTCAGTGTTGTGTCTGCTGAACGCGGCCAATGTTTCCGATCTACCGGCTTCACTGCGCAGACGTAAAGAATGCTCTTAACAGATCTCTTAACAACAGTGAGCGAGAGGTGGAGCGAAAGGTGGAGCGTGGGGCGTGGATGAAATGTAAAAAGGCAAAATAAAGGCTTTCTATTATATTCTATTTTAATTTTATTGTAGTGTTTTTAACAAATTCTGTTACTCTATCCATGCAAAAGGTCCTTGATGATAATATGGCCAAGTAAATAATAATATGCCCACTTAGATGCAGAGGTCATAATTTACACGGAAAAAATTATATTGATCTAGTATGTTTTTTACATGTTTTTAGGACGTTTGAAACAATTGCCGTTCGACAGTATCACGTGATGCTTTTATTTTTCGAAGTTTACGTGTTTGATGGAATTAAACCTATTTATTCCACGTAACATGTTACTGAGCGCCGCTTAAATTGTGTTTCCAGAAGATAAAGGTACATTCCATATCACGATGGGTAAAGGATTTTATTACGAATTTTGTCGTTGATAATGCAATATAACTTTTGATGTTTCTCTATTGATCTATGAGATTTTACAATAATTCGCCGTATCCCTTTATACAATGGTGGTCGAATTAAAATTGAGACGCCCGCCTAGCGAGAGGGAGGTCCAGGTTCAAACCCTGGTCGAGGTGATATTTTTTTGCAATAAATTTAGAATAAAATATTTAGACACTAACACCCTGTCACGGCTCTCAGTCCTTTATTCCTCCGATTTGTGTAGAAGGTTTCAGAAACACGTCTGTTACAATATTTCATAGAACATATTGCAGAATTCTTTCAGAATAGTTACACATGAAATATGTGTACATGATAAGAGCTAGCTGAAGCAACTAAGAAATTAAAAGTCAGGAAGAAAGTATAGGATTAAAGGGTTAATTATAATTAGAGTATGGAAGTAACTTGTAACGCCGTTACCGATTGCTCATCAATATAATAATTAGGGATATTCATGTTGACCGCTTGATGATCAAACAGGAATGTTGCACAACCGGGATATTATCGATCATCGGTCAATTTTATTTTTCTTTATCCCTGTCCAGTGGTCAATAATCAAGTTCTATTAATGCCCGCATGATCTTTGACTGTAAATAAAATCATGTATCTAATTATGTGTCTAATGATTCTACCAAAGAGTGTAGCTTGCGATAGGTAACGATTTATCATACAAGCAAATATGTATATGTATACGTATAATATTTACAAAATATGATATACTTACAAACGAATACTTTGCAAGATGATCCCAACAGTTTTTCTAGTGTAAAAGAAAATAAAAATTTTTACGTCTGACATAGGAAATACAGTGAGAGTTAAATTCGATTCCGTAATTCAAAATCTGTTTTTGACTGATTTTCTCTAAAACTACACAAGTATCAAACAAAGCAACTAATCGTAAAGCTATTTAACGTAGAAATAAAAATTGAAATCATTTTACTTTTTAGCTGCTTCAGGGATAGGAAGGAAAACATGGAAATTTCTCGACGTGTCGCGATACCAAAGCTTCCCGTATTGAGTTAAATTTTTTTGGAACAAGAATTAACGGCAACCGAGATACGATTAGGATACTGTTTTCACTTATGCTTATGTTTATTTATTAATTTTTTAGACGGAAGTCATCAAACTTGAAAATTTAATAAAAATATTCACAATGAGCATTCCTTCTTTCTGTCTCCCATACATACTAATTCATTCTCTCTTGCTCGGTTACATATTCTCTCATTCGGTTACATATTCTCTCGTCAACACTCTCTCTTTCTCTCGTTTACATTCACTCCCTATCAGATATTCGTCTCTGTTACCTGCATGACCTTAACGATAGTTGTGTCCAGAAAACACAACGCTTGAATGAATAATTAACTTCCGTAAAACATTTTGGTATCAATTTTGAAGTATATTTTAAAATGTATACATGTTTAAATATAATATTTAAACATACATATATACTTAGAAATATACTCCGTTTCAAATGTTATTCGAAAATTGTATCATTGTTTTCTGTGCGCAGCTATTTATGAGCTTATCTGCAGGTAGCGGCCATTATTTTTTTTATAACTATTAAATTCGTACCGATCGCCTTTCGGTACTTGGATGTGTTCATGTATACATATATTAAGAATGTTTGTGATTTGTATATGTATATTTGTCTTGTCATGTTGTGTAGCCATGTATTGCATGTTGTATGTGTAGTATGTATATGTACATTCAATTATTAATAATTATTATTAATAACAACAATAATTAATACGGATAGAAAATCATGTAAATGACTTAGTTTGCTGAACATTAATTCTTCAGTAGTACTCCATAAGTAGTGAAGTTGTTACAGTTCAATGTTCACGATTGTTCAACATGTTCGGTCAAGCGAGGCCTTTTTTTCTATTACCACGATTTGCTCGCTTTTCAAGAGAAGAAAAAGAAATCTCGTCATGAATGAGCTTTCAAAATCTTCCAATTCTAAAGTTAACGATTGTTGCTCGATCGGAGCTGCCGAGGACAATACACAAAACTGTAATCTTCACTATATATAGTTTCACTTGATTAAAGATTACGTTAACAGCGTCACTCCTCGCGGTTAGCAAACCAACGTCAGTATCATCAAATTGTTTTCGTCCTGATTATGCGGATTCAATCCAAGATAACGACCGTATCATCTTGGCGACCTGCTCTTTGGAGGTGAAACGGATTCACGGGAAGTGACATTCTGCGCCACGGTTTGCGTGCCGCTCTTCGTAACTCCACCGAGGCCATAGTTCTTCTAACTCTTCTGTAATTCAATAAATCGATAGAATTAATACACACAGCATACGTACATGTCACTGCCACATAGGGTCCGTTGTTCCAACCTCTTGGTAAATTAACTAATACTCAAATCATATGTACGTCTTTGTTTTTCCTTCAAGTTAAACACAGTCAGACATATAATTTAACTATTAGTTAGCTTACCAAGAAATCGGAAAAACCAGCCCATTATCGTAACTACTTGTAAAATATTACAAGTTAACAAATTTTTATACAAAAATTCAGAGATATGGCTTGGAGATATAGATAATGAAGAAATGAGAATAAATAAGTTAATGGTAATTAAAATGTATTCTTTTCTTTCTTTCACGTAATCTTACTTCTTTGAAATTATTTATATAATGTAACTGATAAATGTTACAATCAGACAGAGATTTATGACTACATTTTTCCACATTTATATCTTTTTATACTTCTTGATTGTTACTCAAGAATCATACTCGTCTTCAACAACTTATCTGACTTTTTATACTAACTTGATCTGTTCGGTGGCGCGGAAGTAAACATCATCGGGCGCGTCCATCCACGACATGACTTGCTTACGTGCGTTACTTCTGGACAGCGGTGGACCATGAGGCAGCATATGTGGATGAGAGGCCCTACCGTTAAGGGGCGGCGCAAGAGGAAGAACTGCAGGCGTGGGGTGTTCCAGCGTGTGCTTCGGATGTAGTTGTTGTGGATGATGAGCCCTTTTCGTGGGTGGTGCACCAGAAGGAAGTCCTGCATTCAGGGCGAGATCTAGAAAGACGAAGAATCGCGACAATGTTAAAGAATCCTTCAGTCAATATAAATAAATAGAGGCAAAAGAGTCAATACCGGTTGTTAGTGCTGCGTTTCTATATTTAAAACATTCGAAATATGTATAATATGTAGACCTTTCCGCCTGACGTCAGGCCTTCTTCAGTACGATAAGAAGAATTAATAAAGTCTGTAGAAAAACGCAGCAATATAAAACGAAATCGATTTTACAATGTGACCGAACTTAACACTAGATCGCATTAACGAAATTCTTTAAGTTCTTAAAAGTGCGGTAGATTGTTGAAAAATCAGCCAGTCGGACAAACCGGCCCATTATTGTAACTACTTGTAAAACATGACAAGTTAACAAAGTTTACGTAACATAAAAAAATGGTCCAAAATGTAAAATTAAGTAAAAAATAGTAGGTTTTATCTGAGAGTATTGTGTACTTTCTGTTGGTCTTCTGTGTGACAGAGTTAGTGGCCACAGACTGAACTTCAGTCATTCCTCAATCATTCTTCAGTCATTTTAACATAATCGTACTTGCAAGATATTTTCATGGCGTGTTAACGTCAAAATATGCTTTTCCAATTACTTAATACGATTATGAAAATCCCATTTGTCAGGTAATAATCGAATAATCGCTATGGGTTTAAAATCCTGTCTAATATTTCTACACAGAAAGATCATGTAAACTGATCTAAACAGATTCTTGTTTATTGGGATGCATATGAAATTCTCTATCTTTTCTATAGCTTATAATAATAATTTATACAGGGTGTCAGTGAATGTTTGGAACTTATTTTTTGTGTAGACAAAGTGGACCAAACTGACATGTAGTGCGACACAGCTATCTTTGAATTGGCCTTGGAGATTAAAAAATCCTTTCACATACTTGAAGTATATACAAAAATACATTGCAGGCTAGTCAATTTCAAACTAAAAACGAACAAAACTTATAAAATATCTCTTGGTGTTGCACGTAAAGCTGTCAGTTCAAAGAAACATTCGCTTGTATACAAATCATATAATCTATTTGCACAAATCGAAAGCAGCCTGCAATTCGGATTAGATCAAAGAATAATGTCGAATCAGTAAAACAGTAAGATTAAAAGTTTAATAAAAAAAGATTACTGAAAAACTTTATTTTATATAAAAACATATATCTTTACACCCAAAGTGTAGCTACAAAATGACAAACTATAGGTGTCAGACCTTGCAATAGATAGCGCTCCAATGTGTTAGACAAGGATAGATCTCATGAAAATCTCTGTTCTCATCTCTTTTATGTTGTGTGTGTATAATTATGTTTCCAACACATCTACGTCCTGGGATGAATAACAATATAGGACATAAAATTACCGACGAATTCGAAGTTTAGCTGTCAGTCCAGGATGCCTTAACGAGTTATTAATTATAAAAAAATCGCCGTCTTAGCCCCGGCCTATCGTCCACTGTAAGCGCGCGGCGAGTTGTTAATTATGTAGCTGTTGCAGTTTTTAATAAACAACTCTTGCGAGTCTAGCAACGTTCCAGCGCAGGCTGGCCGCATCTCGCCGCGCGCTTGTACTGGGAAGGAGGCTGGGCTAAGACGGCGACTTTTTACAATTAATAACTCGTTAACTATTGCAAAAATTACAAAATGGTAGAAGACTTTTCGGCTCAGTTTGTTTCACTCTATCTACAAAAAAAAGTCCCAAACATTCACTGACACTTTGTATAAACAAAAAGGGTACTTTGTATCTTGGGTGTTTCCTATTCAAGTATTGATTATTGTTACCATTAAAATTATACGTGTAAAATTATCGTTCTATTGTAATGAAACACAAGTTATTTTAAACTCATTGAGCGTGGTAATAAAACTTACTATCGGAACCATTGATTTCATCAAATGGTCTTGTGCGTTTCAGGATATTCTGCGGAGTCGACATGACAGGCTGCGGCTGGGGTGGCGTCAACGTAAGCCTGTCCACTTCAGGCTTGTTTGGTACCCTCTCATACAAAAGACTGCCGTCTAAAATATTAATGCTTCGTGTTATCAGATAACATGTATAGCACGCATATGTATGCACAGGTAATTAACTTAGCTGAATCATTTCTATCAGTGAAAGAAATATTTTATAGTATAAAGTCAACGGAGTACACGATACTATTTTTTTTCACTGAATCGCTTGCGAGAGCCAATAAGGATGCAGAGTTTCAGATCAGGTGACCTAAGGGCAAATTCTGATTGGCTCTCGCAAGCAATCCAGTAGGAAAAATAGTATCGTGTGCCGTCGGCTTATTTTCTTTCTGCTTCGTATAAAATTATTTCGAAGATGGAATACTGATGGAAAATACATCTCAGTATATACACACCATATATTATACCAGTCACGTTACGTCATAGTATATATATATAAATATATAAGGAGTCAACTGAAATAATCAAGAATGTTGGATAAATAAAGCCAACGGCACTTCAGCTTTGAGTCACCTGATCGAAAACTCTGCATCCTGATTGGCTCTTGTAAGCAATCCAGTAGGAAAAATAGTATCGTGTGCCGTTGGTTTAACATAACGTATATTTGAGTTATAAGTCAATAATACTGATTGTAAGTAATATAAAAAGCTGTCTCTTCTCAACAGTCTTATAAAATACACACTTCATTTCTTTATTATTGGAAAACTTGTCAAGACTACTGTCTCAAATGGTCTTATGTATCTTACCTGATTTCTTGCCTAATTTTTTTATATTGTATGAAGGAAATTGTCACATACGCCACTCATGCGTAAATCTGATCATGACCAATGTGTTGAAGTATTTTGAAATGTTTTTTTTTGTATATATCTTTTATTTAAGAATTCTCAACGTATCATATCACACCTCATCTATAATTGTTTTTTAATATTAAAATTTGTATCACTCAATGTGAGCTAAACATTTTGCATTTTTTAAATTTCAGGGTGTCCAGCAAACTCAATGAAGAAAATTCCCTGAATTTTGCAGGTTTCCCAGGAGCCGAAATAAATTTTTCCCTGACCGTTTAGTATAACTTTTGTCGAGATGCATAATCTGCGAACTGTATTCAAGTAAATGTTAAATGACGAAGTCCTTGAAATATTTTTCTCGGGAAACAAAAGTCCCGAATTTAAAAAGGTAAAAATTTTAATTAAAGCAATTATATCATCTATGTATAATACATTGTGTAATAGGAACGAACATATAATACATACGAATCATTTGTGATACCGTACGTAATCATATATGATGCTTTCGTTTTGCTTAACTGCATTTTGTTTGCAACTTGTTAGATAGTAACTTGTTTAAATAGTACTGTTTAGTAATTCATCTTTTTTTTTATAGTTTTGTCTCGGTTGAAAACATTGAAATAAAATAACAAGACGATGAAAATATAAATTACCGACCACGCTTATAAATTAATGTTTAGCAAAATAGAAAATTAGTGTACAGAGAGAGCCAAAGAAAAGTTTATTTTCTAAAAACTTTAAATTATTCAGAAAAAATGTGAAACGATGTAAAAAAATCCAGATAAATCGTAAACTTTCCTGACAATTCCCGGTTTTCCAGATTTCCCTGACCACTGGACACCCTGAATTTCTAAAGTAAACCTTTTCAATTAACTTTGGAGATTAAAACATTTTTGTTATCACTTGTAATTTCAGCTTGTTGTAATTAATTCTTCAGATAACTAATATTTTTACTGTAAACTCTACTAATAATTCTAACATGGATTATTCCATTTGTTAGTAAAAATATTCGTGCTCTTTGAAATAATATACATATCCTACACACCTTGGAATACCATTTCACTATGTAAGGTAATCAAATACTTCAATTTACTTCGACTGAAGTATTTGTGATTTCTATTGTAATTCAATCACAAACAGTATTTACGTAAGTAGAGAGTGACTATAAATAATTATTTTTAAAAAATTACTAATTCTCAAACTTATTAATTTAACACTTAAATTAATTATGCTGATAAAAAACATAGAAAAATTTAAGAAATTACAATTAATTTAGTTTGTGTTCCATGTTATGGAAGGTGTTCCAAAGTACACAGAGATACACCGAACAGTATCTCAAAACAGATTTTACATTTATTTAAAATTGTAGTTCTCTCTTTTTATTTAAATAAATTTAATTAAAAATTTTGTACATTTATATATAGGTGCTCGTAAGTCTTTTTCCTAAAGATTTTTTATGCAAATTTCAGTAGCGAAAAATAAAAACTTAAAAACTGTCATAGGTACATCATCTTCTCTATATGAAGTAAAAGCATGCTATATACCCGGTGCCTTTGGCGGACGTGGAAATGAGACTCGGTCGGGCTGCTTGCGTTGCGCTGGAGAAGTTAGCGTCAGCCAGTCCCAGTCGCCGGGCTGCCGTGGTGCTGGATGATTGCCTAAACGCGAAGCGATGTCGATCACTTGGGGACGCGACCGAAGCCGTACGGGGCGTGCAAGGATACGCAGCTCCGTAGACGTCTTGGATGCCAGCTGGGCGCATAGATGCCGCAACGGCGCGGCATTCACCGGCTGATGGGGTGCTCGTGCGGCGTGACGTGTGCGCAACTGCGTGGCGCACAAACGTCGCGCTGCACGCGCCAGCAAGGAGGTGCGTAGATAGAACGCGGACCGGGTCTTCATGATCGGCCGTGGCGATCCACCACCGCCGCCGCCACTTCCGGCGGCGCCACGCAGATCTACTCCGTGCGCGCTCGCGTAGTGACGGCTCAAATGAGCTTTCAGTTTAAACTCCTTCCCGCAGGAGGGAATGCTGCATCGATGCGGCCTGTGCGCGCCGCCCATCCCCTTGCTCTCTTCATCCGACCCGGCACCGGCGCGTTTCCTCTCGAGATCGACGTCGTCTAGACGTGAGGGCGACTGTTTTGTAGTAAAAAAGAGAAAGCGGCATGAGATATAAAAATTTGCCATTACCACGGCACAATCCTGTATCATTAGACTGATCTTATACATACCTTGAGTCCTCCATACTTCTTCCAGTATATCCAGCATGCGTGGCAAAGCCGGTAATTCATGTGCGATGGTCCCCAAGCGTACCAGTGTGGACTTTGGGTGGCTTGACAACCCTCGCATGGCTTCCCACCGACTCCGACCATAAGTATTCCGGAATTGTCACCTACCATACTACCGTTACTATTACCATTCAAAACACTGGTCGGCTTTCCGTTGCTATTGCTGTTACTATTGCTCAATGGAACAATACTGGCGGTCGAAGGAGCAGTTGTCGACATAGGAGTCTTGTTTGGATAATTTGGTATATAAACTTGCTTCAGTTTACTCTCCGCTTCTACAGCCTTTACTCTTTTCTGCTGGACATAGCGATCCGTCGTTTTCCACATGTAATAGTACTCTATGACATTCTTGAGCGATTTCCACGGTAACTGGAAGATATCAGGAAGGCACGTAATCAATCTCGGTCGTTCTCACTCATTCACTTGTGTTGTCATACGCTTACAAAATCTGCTCGTATATCGGCAAAATCCTTCCCGTATTTCTCGAGCGCCTCTTCGAACAGATTCGCCTCGGATGCGCTCCACTCTTCCATTTCGTCTCGGCACAATATGGGGCCGGTGCTAGGTACTAGAGATGCTATGGCATTCGCTAAGTCATAGCTATGCAGATGCACTGTGTTCATCGCGTGAAACTGCAATGCAATTGACAAAATTTAATGAAACAAATAATAATAATACCCTATATAAGAACATTCATTTATCTATTTTTATATTTATATTCTGTCCGCAGAACATGCGCCAAACATTTCTTACAAGAGTGATATCTCTAGATGCAGCAGCTGCGGACATGTGCAAGGAGGGCTGCTTAATGGAGGACGAACAGTCTAAGGCTCTCGCGAAGGTGCCTACTGATCTACTAACGACGAGGAATTGATCAATCTGACGATCCGTCAAATTATGTCTCGGAGTCCAAATCAAAGTCTCCAAGTCTTGTAACCTGCGAGTATCCGCTTCTTTCTCTGCGTGCGTCAATACCGCCGGTATATCTGTTGCTTGATATCTGTTACCTACTCTAATTTCGCCTACAACGTAACAAGTATTAATTTCGTCAAGCCTCCATTTATTTCGAGAAAAAAGTGCACCACAATATCGTACCTTTGTCAGCAAGCAAAGTACGCTGAGCAGGATCAAATACTAAGCAGTAAAAAAATGAATCATCCCTGTTTATATAGTTTGTCGCGGATTCGGTTTCATTCAATAACGTAACGCAGCATTTGCCCCTAATATGCGTGGCTGGCAGCGTCTCCACTTGTCGTGATAAAAACAGTTCTCTGTGTTTCATTTGGTGACGTTGCTTAGAACTCAATTCCGTTACTCCTCCAGGGATACCTTCTTCCATCCCTATACACGATGAAAAAAAAAGTAAACGAAATAATATTCGTGTCACGTTATCGTGAGATAGAAAGAATATCGTCTTGTATGAATCAATATAAGTTTTCGAATTACGGTAAAAAAAAAGAATGTATTATCAACGATGAAAAAGTTAAAAAAGCTGAATAATCATATACTGTACAAAATAACACATTTAACTCTCCAAGCAAGTAATTTAAAAATAATTTAAAACCACTGAATCGTTTTATTTTTTATTAATATGTACATCGATTGAAAGTAGTCTTATCATTATAAGGAAGAGAACATTTTCTAAAGAACATGCAGAAGAAGTATGCAATAACGGTAAGTAAGGCCTGTTGGATCGAGGATAAATATAAAAGCTAAATACGCGAGGAAACGGCATGCGTAAATTCTCATATTTGAACATCCACACATGAAGCTATTTCCATTTTTATCGCTCGCGCTTTTAACTAATTGTCTTAGTAATTTTTGTAATGCAATTCGATATCGATTTGGCATCGAGTGAAAGTTAATTTACGCGACGTCTTGCAGCTTTCGGTTAACCCGAGACTAACGTGTCCTGAGTACACTATTATCTTTTTAATTAATCTCTTTATACTCGTCTCATCTATTTCGCAGGAAGTTAAAGTAATGAAGTATACATGAAATGCGGGGATAATACGGCAGAATCAATGAAAACTCGAGCACGGTACTGAACCAAAAAGAGAGACATCAGCAAGAGCGGGCAACATAAAGGCAAACGTAGAAAAATTGCAAGGCAAAAACAATAATCTGCAACGGAAAATTAACTGCCGATAAAAAAAAGTTACGTCGTTTAGAGAAGCCTCAGATTACTAAAGTGTCATCAGATGCGGCGGGATTCTTCTTTCTACGTGTATGTGAATGATAGGTAAAGGTGTGTCGTGTCGACAGGTGGACTCTAGCTGACTAACGGGAAGCTCGAGAATATTTTAAGTTGGTGAACGGATAAGATCGAGACGCTGGAAAATGTGATGCTTAAGACGCGAGAGAATCTACTGTTCTAAATATCAAATGTTATAAAGTGAAATAAATACGGAATAGGTATTTGTGTGGAATGAGTGCGAATGAATTTGTACGGGCACTTTTATGTTAAAAGCCACCGAAGCCCTTGTCGTTTAACTAGAAAGAAAGGAGCCTGGTCATGCCCAATTTACTATATCTTCGGCCTTACAGTGAAATGTCTGAATTCGTGACATACACCAAGATTACAAAGAATTGTTTATAAATCCCGCCGCTAATCAGTAGCCTTGTATCGTCATTGGCTTCTATGTAAGACTAATGAGATAATCAAAAGATGCAAGTATGCCGCTTACCGACGAATCTATCTCGCACTATCAAACGCTTTATGGGCGAAAATACTTATCGGTTTCAGTTTTACCAACAACGCGCCAAGATGACGAGGCTTTTTGCAATCCAATATACAACTTATGTTCCCGGGCCTTAAATAATTATTTATTTCAACTCAAATCGATCTCTTTTAGGACTACAAATAAGAACGTGCTACCAGTGTGAGGTGCTAAGAAATGCTTAAACTAAAAAAAAAACTGATCATTTAACATTCAAGCACGACAGAAATACAATAATATCACATTGTACTACTCGACCAAAGAGGCATGAGAATAAAATTTTTCTACACAATTAAACGTATGCATTTGATACAGACGTGTATAGAATTATGAGAGACATGTACATTCCTTAGAATTGCTACTCTTGCAATCGCTATTTCGCAAAGTTCGATTAGATTCGTCGATAACGGTCGACTACTCTCACTCACCGTGGGGCTCTTGGGCCTCCGATAATGGGGCCTTCAGCCAGCCCCCTTTACCGCCCCCTTTGATCATCACTTTGGGCCCGATACCATCTTTATTAGTCATTTCCTTAGCAGTGTCGGGATTCTCGAGTTTCTGATTCTGTGTACTCGCAGGGGATTCTGACCTCTGCTGCTCCGCGCTTGCCACTGGAATTTTCATTACAAGAAACCCACTCTACTAATTCTCGTCTTTCCAATCTTGTACACAATAGACGCAGGAAGATACGTACGGGCGTGCTAAGCGCGACGCCGTCTCACGCGGAGCGCCCTTGCCGTGCCTAAAGGGCCCTACGCGAGTCATCCACCTTCCTTACGCTTTTCCTATCCTATCGATTTCGCGCGCGCCACCACCGACACACGCCGCTCGTCCAGCTCATCAAGCGCAAATCGTGATTGCACAATTGCGTTACGTGCGATCCGCGATCCTGATTATCTCGACCAATTCCGTCCGCGTTTCTATTTACAATTCATAGCTCCACGTCGTATTTTCATTCGCGCGACGTACGAGATCAATACCTCCGCCACGTTGACCGTTCCTCCGCGGGCGCGTGGATCAAAATACCGCCTCCGGCGTCGAATCCTCATTTCGAGGGTGTACAACGCGACCAAGTACCCAAGACTACCGCTAATTACCGCCGAGTACCGCGTATCGGTGCTCCCGAGCGTTCGCTTTCGGACCAAGAGGTGAGCGGAATCGTCCGCGCGCGCGGTTCTTCTCTCTCTCTCTTTTTTGCACCCCGCGATCGACCGGCGGCGAACCGCGGGGCGCGGAACGAGATAAAAATTCATTACAGCCGGCCTGCCGGCCGGACTCTCGCCGTCGCCTAATTAGCCGCGGATCCGTCCGACGCGCCTCCGTACGCGAGTGCTCCGCCGGCCGGCACGCGGCGTGAGCACGGGCCCGCGACCGATTTCTCTCCGCAAAACCCTTTTCCTTCGTACTCCCCCTCGGCCCTTCCGTTCGCCGCTTGCAGTTACACGCGGACACACCCGGGTGCGATAGCGTGTGTATCGACTTCCGCGAAAGACAAAGGAGAAACGTATTTTCTTTTTTTTTTAACACGAAAATTCGAGGTACCTCGGAGGAGCAAGAGAAAGAGAGGAGAGGAGAGGGGGAGAAAGAGAGAGAGGGGGGGGGAGAGAATGCGAGAGAATACGACGAAAAGGGGAGAGAACCCAATTCGGAGCAAATACCGCCGGACGAACGCGTATACATGGACGACGAGGCCGTTACATATATATATATACTATATACATACACATACTCAGAACACAGACAAAGAGAGAGAGAGAGAGAGAAAGAGAGAAATGTATACATATACATGGGGCGCGAAAGAAGAGGAGGAGAAGAGGAAGAGAAGGAGAGGAAGAAGGGGGGGGGGGCGAGTCTGGCGTGGCGAGGGGGACGAACGTACGGGGGAGAGTGGTAGCAAATGCTTAAAACGAAGATGGCTAGTGGGGCCCACCATTTTCGCCCGGGCACACACGTACACACGTGTCGGTGTGTGCGTCGGTGTGAGGGAATACACGTAACATATACCCAAGCAACCCCTGCGTCAGCCATCCATTTAGTTGAGGGTGGTGGGTGGACCGGGTGGGGGCAGGGGGGGAAAAAGGGGGGGGGGGAGGGGGGCCGGGGGGTGGTGGAGGAAGGGGGGGGATGGGGTGGGGGAAAGGGGGGGCCGAGCGGGGGCACCAGCGTCCCCCCTTCGGCCACCCCCATCCTCCCCCCCCCCAGGCAGATCGATACAACCCCCGTCTCCCACAACCCGCCCAACCACCCCCACAACTTTACTTATTATACATTCCCACCCCAAATCCCCGCGTCTCATTATCTTTGTCATTGCGAAGGAAAAATCGAGAAAGCCCCGGGATAACGCGCGACTCTCTACGCGGCCGGCGACCGAGGACTGAATTGCGTGCGTGCGTGCGTGCGTGCGTGCGTGCGTGCGCGTTCGTTACGTGTGTACACGCGTGTCTCCTGGGAACGGGGATTTCTTTTTTTTTTAATCGGTCTTTGGAGAACGTATTAATATCGGATGAGCGTAAGCGGATCGTTTCGCGCCGGAGATCAGCCGCGCGCCGAAGCGTTCGCGCCTCGGAGATTTTCCCTGTCTCCGGGGCTGCAGTCGAAGGAATTTGGGAAGGAATGCGAGAGGACAATTTTTCGGGACTGAAATATCCTCAAAGGGGGGGGACTCGCCACAATAACTTCTACAAATCGAACAAAGGTTTCTCCCTCGCCCCGCTTAAAGCCGTTTTACACGGCGCCGGCGGCGACGCTTCGACTCGGATCTCGAGCAGATTCTTCTTCCCGCTCCGCGGTAGCCACGGCTACACACGGCACGGCATGCACACACAGCTGCACGCGGTGTCGCACGCGCAAACCCCCCCCCCCCCCCGCCTCACCCTAAACCCCCGGTATCTCTCGAAATTTCGTACCGCCTGCATTTCGCGAGAGAGAGGTGTCTCTCGTCAATAATGATTGCCAAAGCGGAGAAAATCGATACCGCCTGGAAATTGCGGGCGGGATCTTCCACGCTGGGAGATGAAACCGTGCCCGCGGATGAATTTTCCTCACCTATGAACGGTTATCGATCTGCCGTACGAGCCGGCGAGCGCTAAAACCAACTTGTCCTTCCCGTACTTTATGGTAATTCGGCGTCTCGCCCGGTGTCGTCGCGTTTTGCACGTTCGGAAACCGCGAATTTCGCCGGGCGGCCGCGCGCCGCGCCGCGCCGCGCCGGGGGAGCCGAGGGACACGCGAGCCCCGACGGGTGTAGACGCGCGCGCGAGAGAGCGAGATCTCGCTCCCTCTTTTTTTTTCCCCCGTGTCGCACCAACGGAAGCAGGCATACTCTCGTGCGTTGTTAGTAATACGTTAGTATACAAATTCGAAACCCTGTTGCAAAACGGCTCATCGAGACAGATCTTCTCGGGAGGAAGCGTGTTTAGATTACGTCCAGAAAAGGGTTCAAGTATTAATTTTCCTCGTACGTGGAGACGTGCGTGAAGCGAGAACGTAGAGAGAAGAAGTCGGGGGCAATTCCGTACTAACTCGTGAGACTCTCCGACACATGGTCTTCCCACACCATTTGCAAATATTTACGATAACACTAGGTAGCCTCTTGGTTTTTTTTTCTTGCGCGCGCGCGAGGACGTGTGCTACTTACATTGGTGTTTGTCCGCCAGCATAACCAAGGTGGGCGGTAAATCCCTCCGCCTGAAGAAGCACATCACTTTTGCTTCCACATTGCCGCTCGCGGTCTGCAACAGGAAACGGGGGGGAGAGGTTTAGCGAATTTCGCGCCGGGTCCGCCGCCAGGTGTGCGCGCATGTATCTGCATTATTAACAGGACTTAAATATATTTCGATACGTGAGTACAGACGAATATAAATAGCCGGTCGATCCTCATTATAATTTCTCGCTAAAATGCTAAGGCGCCGCCACCACCGCCGCCGCCGCTGCCGCCGCCGCCGCCGCGTCGGCTCCGCTCTTAATGTCTTACCTTATTTAATTCTTCTATCCTCCTGATCTGATACGGCGATGAGTTGGTGGTCTCAAAATACACGTAATCTAAAAACAAACCAGCAATCGATATTAACGATCTCGTGAAAAAAATTGTTTTATACGTAAAAAAAAAGGTAAAAAAAGCTACAAAATTGTCAAGGGACCCCGGCGGTCTCGCTGGCACGAGGATCTCGAGGATTCTAAGGAATCTAATTTAAAAAAAAAGGAGGGGGGAGGCGGAAATTAGAGTGCAAAGATCTCTCTACACCCGGGAAAATTTCGTGGGGACAAAAACGGAGGTGGAGATTTCGGTCGGACGTCGCTGCCGTCGCCGCCACCGGCGATACAAAACCGAAGGGAGAGAGAAAGAGAGAAAGTGAGAGAAAGAAGAGCAAAGGACGAGGATCGAGGGGAAAGAGAAAACGGTCTCTCGTCGCACTGAGAGAGAAGGAGAGAGAGGGAGAGAGAGAGAGAGAGACACAGAGAGAACGCGTGGCACCTCGTGCACGACGGCATCGATACAACGAATAGCGGCGATTCCGGGCGGTAATCGCCAAGGATCCAATTTTGATCCGCGAGATTTGTCGCGCAAGAAATTAGCGTGACCTGAACGTGAGAGAGCGAGAGGACGGTTGCGCGGGTGAGGAAGGTGGCGAACGAAGGGCAGGGAGGGAAACACGGGATAGGGAAGAGACGGAGAAAGAGAGCGCGCGCGAGAGAGAGAGAGAGAGAAAGAGAGAGAGAGGAGGAAGAATGGAGGAGTCGGATGGGCGAGGAGAGGGGGAGGAAAAGCCGGAGCGTAGGTATAGGACGTTACGGAAGGGGGGAGAGCGTGAAGGGGGGCCGAGGGGTGGCGGAGAGTACGAGGGAGATCCAGATGAAGAGTGGAAAGAAGAGAGGGCGCGCGGGGAGCGGGGGCGAGCGGTAAAAGCGGGAGGGGAAGGGGGAAGAACGCGCCGCGCGCGGAGGGTATAGGGGACGCCATTGCGATGCCATTTGCAAACATTAATTTCTCGGAGTTAATTAAAGCCGCTCTCTCTCTCTCTCTCTCTTTCTCTGTCTCGTTCGTTCCCCCTTTCTCTCTCTCTCTCCCTGTTTCTCTTTTCATCTCCACTTCTCGAATTCGCGAAACCGACGACGATCGACACCGTTATCGCCGTCGCCGACAACGACGTCCCCACGTCGGGGTAACGCGGTCCGCGGAATGCATGCGGTTATACTTTACCTCCCACCCGGTACATGTTGGCCGTCATGTCGTCCGCGTCCTGCGTGGTCCCGAGAGCGAAATTGGCGTTCTCGTGGTTGCTGTGGCCCTCGTGGTATTCGGCCGGCATCGGCATCAAGACTCGGGTCGTCCTCCGCAACGTGTGTTACAATCCCGCGGTCGCTGCCGCCGATCGCGGGCACTCGCACTCTCCCCCCTCTCTCTCTCTCTCTCCCTCAGTCTAATTACCACCGTGTCTCTCTCTCTCTCTCTCTCTGTCTCACTAGTCCTCTAGTAGTTGCCTCCCGCGCGCGTACTCTCGCTCCGTCTCCTTCCTTCTCTCACCTGGACAGTCAACACCTCGCGGCGTAACGCTCCATCGTGTTTATTTGCCCATCGCCGATCCGCTACTAGGTATTAAACTTTCGTCCCCGTCTGCCTCGCTGCCTGTGCGTCCTCTGTCCGTCTGTCTCTGTTCTCCCGGGGGAGGAGAGGGAGGAGGGGGGAGCGGGGGTTTCGCTCTTTCTATTGCCCTATCTCCGTCCTTCTCCGTCTCTCCCTTTTTCGCCTCGTCTCTTTCTCTCCTTTCCTTTCCTCCCTCCCTCTCTCCGCCTGCGGGGGTTCGCACGGTCGCTACCTGTGTCTTCTCTGTGTCCGTCTCCTTCTCCCTCTATCTCTCTCTCTCTCTCACTCTCTCTTTCTCGGGACCGGAGTTTTACGTTGCGTGCTTTACCTTCGAACTGTTATTCACAACACTCGGATATAACGTTCCGCTGTTCCGTTCGGCTCGTTCCGTTTTCAACGACACGCTACCCGACGAGCGAGCGAGCGAGCGAACGAACGAGCGTGCGTGCGTGAACGCGTCAACGAGCGTACACGAGCGTGCGTGGCGTGCGTGTATGCGTGGACGCGGCACACGCAGCACGCACAGCACCGGAGGGCGGGAAAATGTCCCGCGCGTACAGTCAGCGATTTGCGCGCGGCCGTCGCCGCCGGACCGCCCCGCGCCTCGTGCGTCCCGTGCGAGGACGGCTAACAGCGTCGGCGACGAGCACCATCGAGGCCCGCCATTTTCGTGTCGGCGAGCGCGAGCCGCTCAACGCGGGCCGAAGGCTGCGCCGGAGGCGCCCCGCCACCCCCGACTCGTCCTCGTCCGTCCCGTGCGAAGGCACCGACGCGCACCTCTCCTTCCGGCCAGAAAATCCGTCCGGCCGCCGGGAAACCACTCACCCGTTTCACACTATCGAGAGCGGCGTCCACCGTCGCGCCGCCGCCGCCACCGCCGCCGCCGCCGCCACCACCGCGTCGTGTACACGTCCCTCGAGCTGACTCGCGATCTCAACCGCTCCGTTCGCGAGCGCCTGTGCGAGTCGCGAAAAGCCAACGCACTCCCCGGCCGAGTAACGGAGAAATAACCGATGGTAACCGATGGCGAACGCGGGTGTCGCGCGCCAGCGCCTCTACCGGCACTCGCCGGGAGGGAATCCCGCGCCAAGCGGAATCGTCTAGGGACTCCGTCGCCAGGCCTGGATCCCCGAGCGGCGATTGGTCCGCCATTTCCCTTCGATTCGCGCCACTCTTCAAACCCCCCGGTCGATTATTCTTGGCCCCGCGAGGAACAATATGTTTTCTAAACAGGCCAACGTTTGTTGTACAAATATTTAGGAGTGACTGGCAGTTACGCGAAACAATAACGAAATGGTAAAATATAAGTAATAAGTAATAAGTAAAATATAAAAGTAATAAGATCAGTCGCGCGGAACGTTCAATCGCGCTCCTCGCAGTCGGAACACGTTCAGGATAGCGACGAAAAATTCACAGAACACGATAGCACTCGCGAAGGATCAAACCTAATAAAGCTTGCCAGTCGAAGATTTTATCAGGATTTAATTCTTATAATAATAAAACGGACTTTAAACTTTGATTAAATTTCATATTCAATTAAACCAGTTGTTACCCACGAGACGCTGCGGGACACGTTCCATTCGATGGTCCAGTGGCCACGCTATGTTTAAAATCAAAGGCGGCGACTTTGAGCATCGCCGAGTTGATCTCGATTGCACTATTGGAGATATGATTTGATATTAGAGGAAAGTCGCCTACTATGAAACAGCGGGGTTTCTACCAAATCAATCGCTGTCTGTTGGTTCCACCACGAATTTATTGCCCTCGAAGTGAGACCTGCTCAGTGGAAAATTCATTGTTAGATTGCGTAATCGCCGCGAAAGAAGATTGCGATTGACTTTGAACGCTGAAAACCTGCCGTCTCGTGTTAGAAGCTTATCTCAGAATAGGAGAATTTCCTCTATTGCTACAGAAGGTAAAAGACAGAGCGAGTGGGTCAATTGTTGAAACTCTCTAGCAATTATTGCGATCACAATGGGCAAGAGACGTAGGTAACAATGTAAATACCCGGGGAAAACGGCCTAATCAAAGTGATGTCAAAATGCCATCAAATTGATGAGGGATGAATAGTCAAAATGATGGCAAAATGATAATAATTTGACTGCAACACGTCCCGTGCCTTGATGGTGATTCAGACTGTCATTTTGATGTTCGTTTGATGTCGAAAGTAAACAATTACTCTCTACAGGAATCACTGCAATACACTAGAACAAAATGACAATTGAAGAAACAACTTCTATCGAAACATCGAGTGGCGCAACAATTATCGGTGAAAGAGAAAATTGTAGGTTCCTGAAGCAGTGGAGAGCTCGTGGTAAATGAAATAATGTTTGTGCGTAGTATATGAAATATTTATATTTACGAAAATTAGTCTTTTTCTATACAATTGCTAATGCGCAGTCACATATTTCTCCATTTTGTCGGAATCGCCAAAGAGAATCGCGTACGCGTCGAACAATTAAAATTACTCACTTATCTTGTAGAACCTGTGCGAGCTTGCCTTGCTTTCTCGGTGAAATGTTTCTCGATGCGCCTGACTAATAATAAATAGAACGAATAAATGTCGATTTGATGAAAATACACGTAACACAAAGATATATTTATTATATACACAATATATAGTGCCTCCTTTTATAATAATACACATCCGCAAGAACGTTCATAATTTAATTTCATGGAATTTCGTTAGTTATCTGTAAGGCACACCCCACGGTCGCGTTATCAAAGTAATTTTGTGTCCTCTCGTATTTTGCGTTATATATAATATCATATAAATAACTGTATACCATTGTGGATATATTCTATTAGAGTCTAAATTTTTATTATGCATTTCTATCTTTAAGAATAATTAATACGCTAGCGATATAGAGGCAATAATCTGTTCTGTACATAATCCTATGTCTTTCTTATCGACTCCTTTAAGATAATGTACCATTTTTTTTCCATTAATGATAATAATGACAGTAACGTTATAAGAATACCGGGGAAAAATGCGTAAATGAGATGCGCAGGACGAGACCTGCGGGATGAAACCCTGCGCTTCTGCACACAGGTTTACGCGTGCGTTCACCCGCCCTCGTCGCGATACGTAAAATATGAGTAGCAATGTCGAAAGTAAAAAAAAAACCGTACGGATGACTCGCTCGACTGCCAATACATCCCCTCCGCCTCGACTACAATGTGGGTTTACGGTATCGTTTTAAATAATTGCAAAAAAAAACCGCGCACCGATTTTCCTTTTCTTTCGTTTTGCCCTTTCTACGCGGCTCTCCACTCGCAAATCGCGCACGATAAAAATACGTGTAACGTATACACACGCTTGCAGTTGCATTTCTTTTTATCCCTAACGTTTTTGTATATTACCACTCACGATTTTTTCCTTTTTTTTTCCTTTTGAATCTTGCGTGTAATATTAATATAAAATACCTATGCCGCCATTGACAAATTTATGCATTTGTATGTACAAGTATAGCTCTCCCAAAATCCAACTATCTGGCTTCATCGTATTTGTGTCTCTTTCTCTCTTTCTCTCTCTCTCTCTACTTACTAAGATACTATTGTTTTATGAATAAAAAAATACTAATATATATCGCATTGTCGTTGCACGGGCAGTGTTTGCGTAGTGTTTTGTCCACTCGTAAGGCACCAACTCTATTGGGATCCTGAGATTCAACCCGAATGCTTCGACAGATTCAGAGGCATATCTGCAAAGATAGAGGGACATTAGCACATCTTCGAACATTTGCCCCCCCCCCCCCCGAGGGGGAGGGGAGGAGGAGGGCACTTATTTATAATACACAAACGAGCATATACCTGAAGGAGGTGTGAGAGTTTGTTCCCTATAGTCTTTGTAATGTGGGGACGATGAGTGAGAATGCGGCGGTGCGTACAATTGCATAGGAGGCGAATAGTGGACGGGAGACGGATAATGGGGCGCCATCCATAGAGGCGCCGCCCTATACGGTCCAGGTGGCAACATCGGTATCGCGTAGAGCGGATGATGAACGGATGTATTGCTGGATCCGATGTAGGGATCGATTCGTACCCTCGGATAGGCGTTAGTCGTTGAGTATTTCACAGGCTGCCGGTCGTCCGGCTTCAGCAGTGTCCTCAAGAAACCCGGCTCGGGACTCGGCTTGTCCTCCCCCAGGATACTGGTTATACTGTACGACGACACTTGCTTCGAGGAGGGAGTCGGTGGCGCGCTCGTCGTGCAAACCTGCGGCTGCGGAGTGGCCCGTCTCTTGGACGCCTGATCCTCCAGCGAGACTCTCTCCAGCTCGCGCAGTATGCGTTTGCGAGGCGATACGACATTAGGATCCAGCAGGCGCGCCAGCTTGTCGATAATCTGAATCAGCCTGCCCGACGACGATGTACCGTTCAATTTCCGCGGCGCTCTCGTCGGATGAGCCGCCGTTGGCTCCAGGACCGAGGCCGCGGTCGTGGAGTCCAACGGGCGCCTGCGTTTCCTCGCTATCAGGCGTAGGTGCGCGTACAAGCGGGTCTTGGGGTCTCGGCGATAATAAAAATTGAATTCCGTGGTTATCCTGCGTCGGGGATGGGTCTGCTTCCAGCAGTGATCTCTCTGCCAAGGACTGGATTGGACCGACGAATTGTCGTCGGAAACTGAGAACAGAGTGCAATGCGTGTGGTTACCGTCTGAATCGAGTCTGAGAGAACAGCGATAAGAAGCAATCGAATGTTGGAAGTGTAATAAGCGCGCGCGAAAGAAAACGGCGAAAGACGACCTACCACTGAGGGAAGTAGAGCTCTCCTGTCGATTCGGGATGGTGCTAGCGGGCGGCCAGAAGGTTTTCTTTGGCACGGGAAACCACGTGGTCTTCTCACCGTCCCTGCGGTGGGACAGCTCCAGGATGAACTTGCCATCTTTGAAGAACTTCAAGCGGCCTCCGGGAGTTGGCAGCAGGCTGCCGTCGATGCGCTGCACCTCCGCGTGATGAGCCGGCTGGGGGCTCGAATTTTTACCGTTTGCCTTGGCGAGGGTCGGGTGCAGCGTAGGTGGATCACGCGAGCACATCTCTGTCGTGCCCCTCACGTGACCTGCGTGAGTGTGACATTCTGCTGACTTTTCGCGCATACTGACACTTTATCGGTATCCATTTTCCTCCGCTGGGCCGCTCATACTTGGACCTCTCGGCGTGCGGCGCAACGAGATCGCAGCTTGTTGACTTTCTCTCAAGAGAATCAGGCCCGAGCGCGCGAGACGTGGTTGCGGCGTGCGGCGGCCTCGGCTGCGGCGCGGAACATCCTCGTGCTCCAGAGAACCCCCTCTCTCTCTCTCCCCCGCCTCCCTATCATCCGACGGAGCGAGGACCTACGATTTACAAAAAGTCTGAGGCACGTGTGTCGCGGCGGACAGGCGGTCAGAGCTCACGCCACTCGGACGGGACGTCGGAGATCGTGGAGCACAGAAGTCATGACTCGCGGGCGATCATGATGGCTGACAGACACAGACACACACACACACACATACACACACACACACACACAGAGAGCGCCTGCTGGGCGCACGGGTCCGCGAACCGTGGCCGTTTATTCTCTGGCGAGGCACGCGGGAGGCAGGAACGCGTGACCGTTCTCCGGTCGCGGTGTCATCGCACCAGCGGAGTCACCAGCAGCGTCAAATACTGCAGACGGAGGGGCGACATATTTCATTCCCTTTTTTTTCTCTCTCTCCTCTCTTCCACTCGGGGGGAAAATCGCAACGTGCGCGTGAGGCGGCGACGGCGACGGCGGCGGCGGCGGCGGCGGCGGCGGCGGCGGCGGCGGCGGTGGCGATCGACGCCGGGTCACTCCGGGCGGGCCGACACCGCGTCGGGCGGCGCGATCGCTATCAGTCGCACCGCGGCGGCTCGCACTCGCGGGGCGCACGGAGAAATCCGGTGTGCATGAGTGTTGGCGGCCGCCAGACACCCACCCACCCACGCACGCACTACCGCCTTCCGCTTCTGCTGGCTACTCCGCCGCCGGAGCGCGGCGCATCGTCGTCCTGGCGAACGTCCCCCGCGGGCACGGGCGCCCCGAGCTCCCGCGGTCCGCCTGCCCGAGACCTCGCGCAGCCTGCGGGACGGTACGGCGACGGGCAGCAGCGGTCCACGGCGGTGGAAAACACCGCACGGCCGCGACACATGTGTTTCACTACACCCCGCGAGAGCAGTCCGCGCGTCCGTCGCCGGTCCACGGGTCCCCCGGAGTATCCACCGAGCCGAGCGAGTCGCACAACGCACCCAGCCGTCCGTTTTCGCTCGCGCGATCTCCTCTCTCGGCCCCCGTGCCTGTTCGCGGGTCGGGCGGGGAGGGGGGAGGGTAAAAGAGCGTAGACGTACTCCGATCGCCTCCTTGAGTCGACGGTGTCGACCCTTCTCGTCGACAACACTGGTGGCGACGATGGCGGTTCGCATTCCGCGCGTTCCTCCCGTCTCTGGCCCCCTACGCCCCCTTGCGCGCGCGCGCGCGATCTCTCTCTCTCGCGATTTTCGCGATCGCGACCCGCGGACGCCGTGACACCGCGGCGTTCTCCCTCGAGGATATTACAACTCGCCGCGAGCTCTTTTCTCTCCTCCCTCTCCCGCTCCTTTCCCTCCCACCCGCCTTGCCGAAATGCTGGCGTTTCGTCGCGTTTCTGTCAAATCGCGGCATGTTCCGCTCGTTCCGCCCGTCTCGACTCCCGCCTCGCGGCGCGGAATGGAAACGCGCGCGAAATTCGTATCGACGCGCCCGCGACTCGGCGCGCCCCTTCGCTTCCCTTTCCCTCCTTTCGTCCCCGTTCCTTCCCGGGTGCCGTCGATCCGCGTCGTAGTGAAACGAACCTCCTCGACGATATTACCGCGCTGGCCGTCGAGCGAGAAATGTCGGTCTCGTAGACAAGCTTGCAAATATCTGCTCTCTCGCCTCAACGTGCCGCCCGGACACAGCTTTTCTATTCTACGTCTATTCCAGATACAACTCCGTACACGCGGGCTTTGCCAAATTTCCAAATTAGTGGAGAGATGTTCGCCCCACCAGGTAAAACGTTTCCGGCGGACTTTGCCCTTCGATCGAAAATATTTATGTTCGCTAGTCTCGATCACGGGACAGACTTGATTTCCGTGTACCTCTCCGCTCGCGCGCCGCGTTCGGAATTATACGATTGCTTTCTTCTCGCGCGGGAAAGGCGTCAGAAGTATTTACATCAGAATACAAGAGACAATAATAATGAAGGCAAACAGACGTGGGCCTACGTGTTTGGCGAAAGTATCCGTGGAGGAAGACGTTGCAACGGCGATCAGTTTCATGCACTTTCTTCGAGAATCATCCTTCCTGCATTGTTCTGTAATTTTTCTACGTTAATTACTTTCTTGAATGCGTTAGCTCACAATGTCCATATGAAATTGTCTCTTCACATTCTTGACGAACGTGATGTACATACGCAACATGCTTTATACGTTACGGATGATAATTCACGAGGTATCCCTTTTGCTGATTCAAGATCGCGTCATCATTGCGAGTCTCATTTACAGTCGATGATTTCAGAAAAATCTTTAAGATACCGCAAGATTGAAACAAAGCACGAGGAAAGAAGAGACAGCAATAGGAAAAGATCGTTACATGGAAGCATGGGCGTATCCAGACTTTTGTCTACGGGGGGCAGCAGATTCACCCGTAGGTGAATTATGCAGCATAAATTAAATTACGTACTTGTAAAAAAAGATTTTTATTTACACAAAAATTAATTTTCCGGGGTCCTCGGCAAATCTATTAATTGTACTATTCGTAAAGGGATCCACCCGTGCTTTCAGCCAATTTCCAGTGGACGCTGCACAATTTTACTCTTGCTATTTCGTAATTTTTTTACTGTAAAACTACCGATATTTGATCAGTGCATAATGAAGTCGTAATTATTACATTATAGGCATAAACCTTAGCGATATATCGGGGATCCCATAGAGTCTAGGGGGACAGCTGCCCCCCTGCCCTCCTCTGGATACGCCCATGCATAGAGGAACAATCATATACGTGATAAGACAATCCTTGAGTTAAAAATCTTCATTCGTCAATCAGATTAAAAAATAGAGTAAAAGTATTCGCCGGTGCTTGATTCGCCGCGCATTAAAGATTAATGAGTAAATCTATTGACCATCGATGCGTCTCTGGAAGTATTTTTTCCGCGCAGCACCAGGCCTTGGCAGGGGGATTTGTGCACGTCCTCGGTCGGCTCGTCGTCGGCGGCTCTCACTTGCATGAGAAACATGCGTCGGCTTCTGCTGGACAGGTTGAGATACGAGCCGTGAAGCAGCAAGTAAGAGAAGACGACAATGTCGCCCTTCGCGGCAGACACGGGAACGGCTCTGGACAAAGGGTATTCCTCGGGATCGACGTAATGATACTGATCACCCTTTTCGTCGGTCAGCCCGTGGTCCATCAACGGTCCCAATTTATGACTGCCGGGATACACCGCCAAGCCACCATTTTCCGGCGTTGTGTCGTCCAAGTGTAGAAACACAGCCAGCATGGTGTGCTTCTTGTGGGGAAAATAATGATAGTCTTGATGCATCAGATACGGCGCCCCTTTCTCCGGCGGCTTTATGTGCGCCTTAGTGTGATGCAACAATATGTCCTTGGTGTCCATGATATCCTCGAGGGCGTCCAATAGATTCGGGTGCGTGATGGTCCGCGTGAAGACACCGCTGTGCATTTGCAGATTGTGAATAGATTTCACCTGATGGCATAAATGACAATTTGTCACACGAGTCTTTTAAAACGGACGCGAACTTTACAGAATACAGCATATCTGTATTGTATTCTTTTTTACACTTACGGTATAGTCGATATATCCAGCCACTTTTCTCATGTCTTCTCCGACCCAGCCTGCCTCCAGACCCGCCAGATTTTCGCGACGTTTCCTTTCGAACAATTCATTATAGGCGTCCGATATCTCGTTTATTTCCCTCGTAGAAAACACACTCGACAATTTGATGTAACCATTTTCCTGCCAGAATTGCTTCTGTTCTGACGTTAAAAATTTCAGAGGGCCCATTTTCAATCACGAAACTTGAATTCGCTCTCACTCGGCATCAGGAAATGCAATCTCGCGTCTGGCGTCAAGTATTGATATATGTATGCATTGCCCTCTACTCCAAAAGTGGTTCTTTAGTGGGGGATTATCTGTATCGCGCGATATAGATTCACGCATAATCGAGCTGTTTAAACAATCGCACGATTTTCCCGCGTGTTTTCTGTCCCCTTACACAATTCTTTAATAAACAGTCGCACAACATAGATTAGGCCTAACGAATGACTACAACTCGATAAGATAAAAAATATTTAACGTTATAATTATGTGTACAATGTAAAATACTTCTTACAAAATTACAAAATCTTTCCTACACAATAAACCAGCAATAACGCTTTCGTCTTGTCAATTTTACTGTAAACATCTTAATCACTAAAATTCATCGTTACGTAATTGTACACTGCAATCTTAATTACATAATTTCGATCACTGGCGAGTATCTTATCACGTTCGTTGCATTTTGACACGAATAAAAATACTGCTTGTCTCCGATAGGGAATGGAAATTTCTATATGACCTCGAGGGACATTCGTCGAGTCACATCGACATCGTTGCAAAGTCGGCAACGCAAACGTATTAACGTTTATACTTGTCCTGTCTCAAGCCAACGGCGCACGGTACTATTTTTCCTGCTGGATTGCTCGCGAGAGCCAATAACGCAGAGTTTCAGATCAGATGACTCAAGACCGAGTCTTGAGTGGGCCGCTGGCTCTAGTCTTACTCTCGTAAATAACATAATTACGTGACATTAATCTATTTAACATCCTATCTATTATAAAACTATTTATCCTACTCTACGGAAATTTTGAATTCTGCTACAATTGTCATATCGCCAAGTCGTAGTCACGAACAGAATTTAAATCCCTTTATGATCTGCTTCGACTGATACCATCGGTAGGAAGACTGAGTGGTGCTATTGTACTGAGTGTATTGCATGTCGTCCTCGTTCTCCGTGTAAGCTTTGCACGAGTCGTGGTACACTTTAACAAGCGTCCTGCAGTTGCACCGCATATCCACCTGGTCGCTCTGGCACAGTTTAATCCTGAAGCAACTCGCCGTCTGTACGGGCGGCGCGTATTGTGGCTTGGGCAGGAAGAAATCGGACACCGAGTTGCTGTCGTTCTTCCTCAGCATGACAAACATGTTCGTCATGTTCACAGGGGCGTTCATGGCCTCCTGAAACTCGTCGCACTCCAACATAGACCTGCAAAGACAGCGATCCATTAACGTACATTCGCGCGAGCGCGTTTTGCAAAGCTCCCGTCCCTCTATTAACCTCATAAGCTTCAAGAGCGGCTTCCTGGAGGAGTGCTGGTACTCCTTGTGCCGCTTGCTGTTGAGCACGTACGAGGGAAGTTCCACCCCGATGTAGAGCTTCGGCGAGAGTATCGTAGCGCCGAGCACTATGGCAACCTCCCTTATGTCGCAGCCCTTGAGGAAGAACTGCGAGGCCAAGTGGTCCGAGACGTTCGTCAGCGTGCTCGACAGGGCCCTGAAGGAGACCGCGTTCCTGTCCGTCGTCTTCACGCCCGTCTGGAACTGGGCCAGCGCTTCGTACGCGAGCGGTATCTGCTGCTTCTGGTACAGAATGTACTTTATGAGCTCCATCACGACCTTCGTGCACGAGTCGCTGGTCAGCGGCTCGTCCAGCATCACGTCGATCTCCATCTCGCCTCTTCTGTCCCTGGAGAGCATCTCGGAAAAAAGGGGGGGGTTGGGACTCGGGGCGGAACCTGCGGCGATATTTGTCTCAAGGCACGCCCGTCCGCGAAAAGGAGACAAGAAAAGCTGGACGCCCAGGAGCAACTCGCGCCCGCAATCCCGCATTCGCGCGCGCGTCCCCGGCGAGGTTAGGTTAGGTTGGGAGATATCGAGTTAGGTTATCGAATGCCAATCCGCAGATTCTCGTCCCTCGTAGCCCGACGCTCTGGCCTCTTCCCTCCGTCTCGCCTACTTTCTAAACGCCCTTTCTTTTTTTTCTCTCCAAACGTCCAGTTTTAAATATATAATATATTTATATACGTCGCTCCAGGTGCAGAAAGGTGCAACGCGGTGTAACGTAGCGCACAATATCACACCTCTCGCCCCCCCCCGTGACATTGGCGCCGGATGGTTGGTTGCCATGTGCCTGGTTAGTTACTGAATTCACCTTATTTACATTGCGCCGTTGAGATGCATGAATTTTGAAGTTTCAAAGAGCCGTGGGGATCGAGAAATAGGGATCCGTGAACGATGGAGCTGAAAACGAGGCAAACGAGGAATTTGCTGGAGCTACTGCGGCAGCAAGTAATCGAGCTATTTTTTTATAACTTATATATATGTACATGTATAATTAACGCGTCCGATAAAACCACCTGCGGGGGATATAAAAGTTTATGGAGGCCGCAGTTAACACGTCGCCTGAGAACGTCTTTCTCTCCTTTCAGGTAAACAAGTTGCATCTGTCGCCGACCACCGCTCCCGTTAATCCGTCGGAGATCTCGGCTGCAAAGTCGACGCTCTACGAGCAGCTGCATTCCCTAACTCAGAGATTCAACAGTCTGACGGGCGACGATCATTGCGACTTCGAGGAGGCGAACGCGAAGCTCGCCGACGCGGCCACGAATTTGAAATACATTTCTCTCCTGAAAAACATCGACGAGCTTGTAGGTGGCGGGAAAATCTCGATGCGATATTCGCCCTTGTTACCGGATTTCAATCGCAACGTGCTGCCTGTTTTCAGATTAAGGCTATTAAATGCGACGATGTTGACAACGACGCGGACGTACGCAGGACGGAATTGCTGCTCGACAGCTTTGGGTTGGCTCTGCGAGCGTTGGAAGACTTCGAATGCCTGCCGTTGAGGCAGAGACTGCAGGATTGTCTGGACTATGTGAAAGAAATGGGCAGAGCGAATGAGATTGAGGACCTTCAAAATATAAAGGTAACGACGCGATGGACTTGAAACAAGCATTGATCTTTGAACGTGAACATTGACACCCTTTGCGCTTCCGAAGGAACTGGGCACTTCGATACTGGAGATACTCGAACCATTGCAGAATTTCAGAAAGAGCCTGGCGTCCGCTCTCCTGTCGCGGAAGCTGGCTTTATACACTTCTCAACTGTGCACGTCGTTCGAGATGCTCGTGCAATTGGCTCGGGAGCAGCATCAGTTAAATGCACCAATTTATGTAAATTGCATATTTAATATTCACTTCCTGGCGTAACTTAGTGGCCGCTTCTGTGTCTACATTGAACAAATATGCGCAGGCTTGTAAGAAGTACGTCTGCGAAAGAATATGCACGTGCTGCGAAATGATTTTGAACTTGTTGAACGGCCCGAATCCGTCGTCGGAACAGGAAACTGGCGACAGGGAGAATCATTTCGTCTACAGGTGGGAAAATACACGTCATTCCTAATTTACAATTGCGTTCAAGTGATCTCGATGGTAACACTTGCAGAATGGATCTGGCGTTGGACATTATATTGGAAATATCGAGCAGGACGCATCAGGAGCAGCTATCCGAATGCGCGGAACTGTGGCTGAGACTGGAGGATGTCTTCTCTCATGCTATGGCAATCACCCAAGTGTGCCAGCCGTATAACTTCAAAGCCATAACCGGTTCATGCCAGTCCATAGTGTTGGAATACGAGAAGCTTAAGCAGCAATTGCTATCGGAAACCCCCGACACGGCGTTAAACAATTTATTCACGTACACCCTGACTGACGCTCTTTATCGCTTGGAGCGCAAAGTTAACATAGCGGTGTTGACGCTCGCGATGGAGGTGTTCAGCAATCCTTTCGCAGCATTGAAGAAACTCGTTATGACATGCGGAAACTCGTTAAGCGCGAAAAGAAGATCGAAGAGCGATCTAAACGATCTCGTCGAGGTCTTTGATCAACTCTTTGACCAAACTGTGCAAATTGGGGTGTTTGCGATCGCTTGTTGCAAGGACAAGAACCGTCAGTTGCCCCTCATCAAAATTATTCTTCATAAAAAGCCAAGTTTGCTTTTTGTTCAAGTAAAAATATATCTAATGTAGACTTGGTTGTTTCAGGCAATAACAAAATTCGCAATTGTCTCGCGGGATTCGAGTCCTTGGAAACAGAATTGATTTCCGCCGTGACTTCCTTCTATCTGCATCCAGACAACAAAGAAATGCGTTCCAGTGTCAAGCTGTTGACCACGCAGTGGCAGCTGGAGATGAACAAGTTTCAGAATGCCGTCAATCTCGTTATAAATTCTGCTGCCTTTTGTCAAGTAAATATTATATAACGGATTGCAAAGAGTTACAAAGATTTTAGAGGGGTGCTTGAGCGCGCTTGTTGTCCAGGTAGTTATGGACGATCTTCAAGAACGTATAACAGCAATCTCAGATTGTCTGGATAACAGAGAGCCGGTAACGCAGCTTCAAGTGCAGGGTATCGTTCAGCGTGCTTCAGCTTTATCTAGTCAAATCACAACGGTCGTAAATGACATTGATACTGAAGACATCGATCGTCAAACGATAATGATGACGAGGGAGTTGAAAGCAGGTAATGTATTACTTACGATTGGAACAGATATGTTTTACCGACGGGCACTCGACATGCTATCGCTTTATTGCAGCTATATTTGAAGCCAACGCAGCTGCCAAGACTCTTCTGGTGGAAAATGCAACGGAGCCTCAACAATTGCGGGTGATAAAACGATGCGAATTGATATTGAGTGTCGTTAAAAAGTTGCAGCCCGCCTTATCTACAATTATGAACAATACGACGCATGAAAAATCGTCGAGGGGCCAGGGAGATTCCGGTCACGGTACGAAATAACGTGCAGTTGTAGTTTATTAAAATGCACCGTGCTTCGTGGTGTACTGTGCGAGTAGGAGCAAGTAATGCGCCGGACTGACATCCTATCTTGGCTCTTGCTCCTTTATTACTTCGTGTTTTCACATTCGAGCATTACGAGTTTCACTAATTCGTTTAATTAAATTGCGCCAAATGTTACAGGTAGCGTGTCAAATGCCATGAACTTTCCATCCACGGTTTACGGCTTGCCGCGCGACGAAAATAGTTTAGTTTACATTAGAACACCCTACACAGGTTTGCGAAAACTCGTACTCTCCGCTTTTGCGCGCCGCTTGTATTCCTCACAGTTTACCCGTGTTTCAGTGAAACCGCACAAACCGCACGTGTCCATTCAACCGGCAAACAGTGTGGCGCAGAAACCGTTGGATCTGTCGTATTTGATACCTTACATAGAGAACGGCCGTGCGTTGCGCAGCGAGCACTCCGTTATGTACAATACGCCGCGCAAGAGCAAGAGAGTGGCGGGGCCAGCCGTTAAAAGTGAAATGTCCGCCAGGAATCTGTCCACCATCAGACAACATCTCTTTAGCAGAGATAGCTTCAGCATTCGCGCTGACTACGACATAGCTGAAGAGAGCATGGATTTAACAGGTAATACACCCGAACGGGGGGTGACCAGACGAGAACCAGCGATTACATTGGAAACCGTTTCAGCTGTTCTAGAGAAGATTGTTTCGTCGTCGGCGTCGAGAGACGCAACGTTCGCGTCGCGCCAGTTCTCAGAAGTGGAATGCGCGTCTTTGGGAAGCGTAAATAAGGAGTCGGTGTTCAACATCGTGGAGAAACTTTGTCAGACCGGTAGGCCGGAGACGGACGGCTGTTTAAATAAATCCGAGATAGCGGAGAAGATGGGCGAATGCGCCATATCCGGTGGCGGCGACGCGTCTTTGATCATGGAGTCGTGTCAAAAGCTCAACAGCGTACGGTCTCCAGGCAACAAGATACAAAAGTCGACCTCGGAGCGACGCGAGGTATAAAGGGAGACCACACGCTTCGTTCTCATGTTTAACATTAACCGTTGACGCAATTTTTTAATTAGTCTTTAAGGTGACGGCAATGTAAATGTATATAAATTACAATGTCGACTACGCATCGTTACGTAACAATTATAATATTAATACCAAAAATTTTCAATTTCACTTGTAAATGTTCAACTTTATCAAAATTTTTATTGCGATATAAAAAGAACCGATTGAAGCGCATTCGAGAGAAGTGTTTCTTCTTTCCTCTTTCTCTCTCCCTCTCTCTCTCTCTCTCTTTCTCTTTCTCTTTCAACGAGATCGCCGGAAGTCGCTGGAATCTGGCGGAAGTAAATGGAAATTACTAGATTTGCAGAACCGAGAGGCAGAGGAGACGGTTGTCGAAAATCACCAGAAGTTACTGGGCTCATATAATCGGCAAATAACCGAAGTCGCCAGAGAGAGAGAGAGAGGGAGATAGCGCGACTCGAGGAGATCGCGATTTTCGCGGGCCGCGAATTTCCCGCGAGCCCGTGCCCTTTCGCGGCAACGTGGACCATATGGTTGCTCTTCCGCACCTTCCGCCTCTCCTCTATCTCTCTCCAACGTCCGATTACGTTCCCCGTTTCGAGTGCAAAAAGTACGACACAGTGCAGCCGCCGAGGGACACAGCCTTCATATGTCCGAGCGTGTCGACTTCTCGTTATGTCAAAACGAAAACGATGTAATAAAGAGAAACACATTTTTCCGCACCTCCTAGTTAGTGGTGGGTGAAAGAGGACGGTGCCGCGGTAGCAGCGTGGAAGAGCGTGACCGGCCAGCCCGATTCGTTCCCAGGTCGGCCCAAGTCAGTCCGCCGCGACGAACATGGACGCCGTGGAGATAAATACGTCGGGTCCGCCGCAGGGCGAGGACGCGGTCGCGTCCGACATCAAGATATGCCGCGTCTGCCTGCTGGGCAACCTGATGATGCGCGACCTCTTCGCGGAGAGCGAGGTCGCGTCCCTGTCGGCGAAGGCGATGAGCTTCGCCAACGTTAAGGTTAGCTGCGCGACTTGGAGGTTAAACGCTCAATCCCCCGAGCCCCCGCTTTTACCGTTCGTTCCCCTCCTTGTTGTCCCGGACGGACCTAGACACCTCTCGTCGACGATGCTCGAGCGTCTCGGCGTCCCCGCGTTAGACGACTTGTCGCACGGCTCGTCGAATCCTCGCGACACGTCCCTGCCCTTAGCACCTTCGCTGCCGCCGTCAATCCGTCGCGACGCTATCCCCGGGAGGGCGCGAGATGATGCGCTTCAAGTAGACGATTTGTCGAGTCCAGAAGCGACGCGTGTGACACCCAACGTAAAGATTTCGTGAGCGTCATCGGTGATACTCGGAGCAGCGAGGGTGGTAGTCGCGACATCGAGCTAACTTAATTCCTTTCGAGCGCAATTTAATGTCAAACATCCGCCTCTGAATTGTACTAAATCGTTAACGCTTCGAATAGATGTTACCAGGCGACGGTCTACCGGGGCAGGTGTGCTGCATGTGCGCCGACAAGCTGGAGTCGGCGTACGAATTTAAGTTGCAAGTGGAGCAAGCCGACAATGTCCTCCGAGAGAAGCTCGTCGGTGGAATAATAAAGGAGGAATTGTTTCTTAATGAAGTCGAGATACACCTGGACGCCGACAGAAGCGACGGGATAGACGAGATTAGTGTCAACGCCGATTACGAATCCGCGGCGACGGTGTTGCCGGTGGAGTCGGCAGCTGACAAGAACTTTCTGAAGGGTCAGTTGCTGCTTTTCGAAACTGAAAAGCTGACGGAGACAGACGGGATGCAACAAGGTGAGTAAAGTACGACTGTTGAGCTAATGTTTCTGGATTCAAATTGAACGTTTACAATGACGCTTTAAAGTTACCGAGTATCTTGTAACGCTGACTCTGCTGTTTAGATTCAGAGCACGATAACACACAGGAAATGACGCAGGAAAGCATCATGGAAAAACTACAGCAAGAATTGGAAGGCGCGACAGACACAGATATGTCGGACACCATCGATGAGTCTAGGGATGAGGAACCTCCCAACGACGAGAGTGTCATTCGAAGTTGCACAGAGGCGATTCCAACGGAGGAACACGATTACATTATGCAGCAACAATGTATATTGCCGGCTGAGCAGCTTTCCTTGCAGGAGGAAATGCAGGAAAATGTACCGGACACATTCAAACAAGATACAATTGAGTGCCAAGAGACACTGTCCGAACAAAACCAAGAGATTCAGGCTGAACAAGATCAAGATGCTGAGCAACACCAAGAGAATAATGTTACGATGAAGCAAGACGTTCAGGCCGTTTGGGAGAATCAAGTTGAACAGAGTCAAAGTGACACGGAGCTATTGTGCCAGGAAGAGGCACTTAAAGCTGACGCTAATGAGTCAGTAGCGGAACAGGAATCGTCCCAGAATGAAACTAGAAGGAGCAAACGTAGATTGGCTCGTCGAGTGTTCGCCGAGCGAGATTCCGACGAGGAGAATTATTTCGAAAATCTGAATCTCAGTTCTCGACTGAAAAAAGCGCAGGCGGATAAGACGGAGAAGATCTTTTTCATGTGTTACTTATGTGATAAGCAATTCCTTTCGAAGAACGTCCTGAAAGAGCATATGCATTCCCATGAAGAAGTGAGGAAAACGCTATCTCTGAAGAAAACGCCGGAGAAGCCGCAGAAGGTGCAGACCAGCGTTTCCGTCACGAAGACGCCGCCATCCGGGAAGAAAGCTAACAAGTGCCCTTATTGTGGTAAAGAGTATCTGTACATAATCTCGTTTACTAAACACATTAAGCAACACGAGCGAGAGCGGGAGGAAGGAAAGGAGGATCCGATGCCGCTCGAAATATCGTTCCACGAGGATGAGCACAGTCTAGACTTCGATAACGGCAACAAGTCGGACGGCGAGTGTAAGAAGCGAAAGAGGGGAAGTGCAGCCGACGACGTTGCGAGCGACAGCGATCAGGATAAGAGGAGAAAGCGTAGTCACGTTGAAGAATTCACGTGTGACAAATGTCCGGAAACATTCGACACGAAGCGCAGCCTGCAAAAGCACTCGATCACGCATATTAGCTTCATATGCAGCGTGTGCGAAAACAAGTACGACACCTTGGAACAACTGAGGAACCATCGAACGATGCACGTGGTCGAGGGCGTGCTGACCGAGCAGGACTTGGAAGAGGACATGAAGCGGATGGCGACCAAGAGCGAGAAGAACGAGACTGAGGACAACAGGAACGTCGAGAATGAGGGGGACGACGGCAAACCCGCGGAAAGCACGAAGGAACTGAAATGCCCGACGTGTTCGATGACGTTCGCGCGCAAGAAGGCGCTCTCCAGACACATAGAGACGATGCACTCCAGCGCCCGCTCTTACGAGTGCAAGATATGTTGTCAACAATTCACACGGAAGGATCTCCTGCGCAGACATGCCGAGCAGCACGCACGGGTCAAGACCTACAAGTGTACCCAGTGCAATAAGACCTTCAGTAACGAGCTCACGCTGAGAAATCACCTGGTTGCCACGAATCACAAGACGTTCGTACACGGGCAGGAGTACGATCCAAACAAGCGTATAAAGCGCGTGGCGGCGAGAGCGGCGCAGAAGATTATCGATAAGATCAAGACGGAGGACGGTCTTGAGGATTACGACGACGATAACGACGACAATACCGATTACGACGCCAAGTTGGACGGGCATTATCGCCGTAAGCGCGACGTTACACCAAAGAAGTACAGTTATAAGAAAGAATTCGAGTGCGCGACCTGTAACAAGAGGTACAGCTCGAAGCAAGCGTTGACGAAGCACATGGAGCAGCATGTCAAGGAGGAGAAAGCGGAGAAGGCGGCGGAGAAGCTGAAGAAGGCCGCTTTGGAGAAGAAGGAGACGCAGAAGGCGAGCAACGTGGAGGATAACGATTACGACGATAACGACTCCGACTTCGAGAGCGGCCTCGACTGGCCGATGGACAGCCACGAGTGCGTCACGTGCAAGAAACGATACAGTACGAAGAAGTCGCTGCTGCGCCACCAGCTGCTGCACGAGGAGCCCAACTTCGAGTGCGATATCTGCAACGTCAAGTTCTACCGCAAGGACAAGCTGAAGGCGCACTACGACAAGTGTTCGGAGAAGAATCCCGACCAGGTGAGGAAGTGCAACATCTGCGGCGACAGTTTCGAGAACAATGAGATCCTCCGCGAGCACAGGGCCAAGCACGTCACCGAGGGTATCTTAACGGAGGAGGATCTGCGGGACATCGAGCCGAAATCCGAAGAAAAGAAACCGGGCGAGAAGATCGGCCGGAAGAGGAGGACCGACATCGTGGGGCTCGAGTGTACCGAATGCAACAAGCGGTATACCTCCAGGAAGGGTCTACTGCGGCACATTCAGGTGCACGAGGGCAAGAAGTACCTGTGCGACATATGCCCGAAGAAGTTCTACCGGCGGGAGCACCTCAAGATCCACGTGGCCAAGCACAACATGGTCAAGCCGTACAAATGCACCCGCTGTACCAAGCGCTTCATCAAGGAGGAGCAGCTCAACAATCATTTGCCTAAGCACGATCGCACGTTCAAGAAAAGTAAAGAGACCGACAGCTCCAAGAGATTCCTCTGCGAGATCTGCAGCAAGAGCTTCACGCAGTCGACGACGCTGATAGCGCATCTGCGCGCCCACAACGGCATCAAGCCGTTCGTGTGCGAGGTATGCTCCCGGCCGTTCACCACCAACGCCTACTTGAAGATGCATATGCGCACGCACACGCAGGAACGCCCGTACATCTGCCAGTACTGCTCGCGAGCGTTCGCACGTGCCGACACCCTTGCGAATCATCTGACGTCGCACACCGGCGAAGCCAAGTATCACTGCAAGTGCTGTCCGAAGAACTTCCGACGATTGAAGTCGCTCAAGGAGCACATGTTCATTCATACGGGGCAACGGCCTTACGAGTGTCCGACCTGCGACAGGAAGTTCAACAACAATGGTAGCCGCTATGCGCACAGCAAGCGCTGCAAGCAGAATCTTTTGCAGAATCAGAACCGGGCGCAGCAGATGATCCAGCAGACGCAACAGCAGCAGCAGCAGCAGCAACAGCATCAACCGCAGCCACAACCGCAGCAGGTGCAGATACAGGTGCAGCAGCAGCCGCATCCGGTCAGGCTGCATCACGCCACGATCGGCCAGGCGCAAGTAGTCAAGGCGCAGAACATCAAAACGATTGCTATAACGAGACCGGCCGAACCTGGCACGACGCAACAAGTTATGCAGCATCAGGAGATATTAATGCCTCTAATCCTACCGCTTACCGTCACTCTCGCCGATGTAGGCGAGGAGGTGATACTACCAGAGGGTACGAAGATATTCACGACGTCTTAATCGAGCCGTTTATTTGTTTCGTGCTCGATCATAATCTAGAAAAGAAGAGACATCCTATTCACGACGGTGAAGCCGCATATTAACTTCTTGATGTGAATCGGAACAAGTACTCTCGACACCCCGTGACTGACGTTTTTATGCCCACAACTCCAATACGAACGGAAAATAAGAAAATAATAACTTCGTGACGAGATAGCTCATGTTATCGAGGGATTTTCTTGTATTGGACAAGTAAGGGTACGATGCTCCACTAGGTGTATGATGAAATGTATGGATCTAACAGAAAGAGTATCATTTTCATTATGTACGAAACGTTATATTGAAGTTTATTTTTGCAACGGTGAAGGCATTAATAAGCGGTATATGTGTAATTTATCTTTTAAATATACATACCTTTATATAAAAACGTGTATTACCGAGAATGAATACTGTAAACATTATGAGAACGTGACGAATTTATGAAAAGACAGAAAGAGGCAAATACCTTTGTCACGAATGTGTGTTGCACTTGTAATATAGACAAATTTTCCTTAAGGCATGTTTATGGATAAGAGAATAGGTTTTCAATACTTAAAGCTTAATGTTAGATTTACTTTCACTTAGTTTGTTCTTCCAGAGATCTTTCTTCGTTTTCTTTAATCAGACACTTCCACTTTCATGAAAAAATTTATTCGCAACCTGAGAGTTATGAACCTAACGGCATCAGTTTAGTTACATTTTCAACGATTTGTTGTAACGTGTAATTGTATCATTACATACATAATTATATAATTGTATAATTATATGTAATTATATATGATCATGCAGTTACAAATATGATACAAAATGATAATAAAATGATAATGTAATTATAATACAATAATTAATATAATTATTATACATGATGATTATATCTAGAAGTCTAATCCTAAACGAATAAGACATAATCTGACGTCATTTCGTTATCTCTAAAACAGAATTTGTTAATTATTTTTCTCTATTTTTGTTTAATTAATATTGTGCATGTATATTATTTTACGTTATCATTTATTCTTGTAGAAAATATATCCTAAAAGTCTCCAATGTACTGTTTCCTGGAACTAATTCGCATGAAATTTCAACTCTTATTTAAAATTATGCAATTTTTTAATACGAAAATATTTCAAGTTTTATTAATATATTGCAATGAATTTATTAGTTTTTTTTAAATTAAAACCTGAAATAATGAAAAAAATTGTAGATTTTATAATAGATAAGTTTCATGCAATGTGCTCTTACACATAATATTAAATCGTGTCTGCATAACAATTGTAAAATTAGTATGAAACTAAACCACATGTATAAATATGTCATATAAATGTTGTTATCATATATATGTGAGACATGATTCTTTATTCTTATTACTTACAAAGTTTTTGTTATAATAAATAAAGTATTTGTTCTAATCTTACATCGTGGTTTATGGTTATATCGGAGTTACTAAATTTGTTGTATACAATTGGTTCGTGATGAAACAATCCCCTTTGCAATTTTACATTATAAGAGTAATCCAAAGAATAGTACAATTTATAAATTGTAGAACTTCTTTTAAGTACGATTTACTCTATCATCGAATCATTATTGAATATGTTTCAATGATAAGTTGATTGTAACAATAAGAAAGAGAAGTTCACACGTATAATCGATTGTTTCTTTTACATTTCTTCCTTTCGTCTTATCAGGCGTGTAAAAAATTGATTGAAATGATTATTCGAATTTTTACGCAAGTGATAACGATTGACAATGAGTAATCTTACAATAGTTATAACTAACGAAACATCTTCAATTGCAGTATGTACATTTTTCACAGACGTTTGACGAACTATCAGTTCTGACAAGATTTTGGCAAGAGAGATACATAGGTTGGTATTTGTCATTAAAGAATTACAAGCAGAAAGAATCGCAAACTTATAACAGAGATCGTAATTTCTATTATCTTCAAATATAGCAACAAGAATAAAGAAATCATTTGAGTGCTCATTGTCAATGTAACCAACCTTTTTAGAATATGAACATTTATTTAGTCGCCTTTTGTTAAATCAATACTATATACACAAACAATATGACATATCACGGGCAACATATTAAACACAGTCTTATAGAAAGTCTGATCCTGTATTATGGTCAATTTTTTTTGTCCTATTATCTCCATTAGCCAGCAAATACGAAAATTGTTTGCGTTTAGCCGTCTATCACCCATAGGATATTGATTCCGGAAGATCCTGCATTAACTCGTCCTAACATGCCATGATCTCGCGTTTTGACTATGTATAAAAAGAGTAAGAGTGTGTGGAACAAATTATTGCGTCCCTAGAAATATAAATGCCATTATAAAGCGATAAACATACGGGATATGAATATATTTGCACCATGAGATTTCATACCCGTTGTACTTCCTCGTAGTCGCTCGGAAGAGAATCGCCGGACAGTGCTAGGCTGTAGTGCGGTGGATTTATAGATTGACAGACTATTATCGGGCCCTTGTTTCGCGGCAGTTCCATGCCAGATCTCGCCATATATCTCGATGTAAACGGCCTGGCGTCCGGTTGATCCAAGGGCGCTTCCAATTGTGTGTCCATGTAGGTCGAAATTAGATGCATTATTATCTGCAAAAGGAAAGGCCAGTAAAAGTTTCCGGAGTACTTGCAATTTTCCACCGGGAAAATTTATAAATCTATTTATGCACACTTACCGCAGAATCCGTTGGCAGGCTAGAGTCCCATTCTTTACCATTGTGAGATCCACCACCGTTCCATTTAAATTCGCTCATGGATCCTCCCTTTGCAAGTGCTTTTATTCTCTTCACAAGGTACTCCTGATTATTGCAGAGCTCCAGGAAGGGGACCAACGTTGGCAAAGTAGGAATCACACAGACAAAAAATTGCGCTTGTGCGAGTTTCCTGAGTCTATCCAGCCCTACGTGGCCCGGCTGCGAGTCGCTCAAGCCGTGGCGTACTAATGTTGCGCATATGTCGTCAATTTCCAAAGCCACACGTTCGACGACTGTCTTGCTGATCCACTGAAACATTTGTCGTACGTTAAAAAAAAAAGTTAAACCAAGTAATTCCTTACAGCACTAATTATTTTTGTTTTATCCTGTTTTACATGGTAATTCTTACCATCCGAAGATTAGCTGTCCATTCGTTCACTTTGTTGGAATCAATTCTGTACTTTCTCCATATATCTAGTGCACCAAATGTGCCTCTGGGAGAACTTCCTTCCTCAGCCGGGCTGGTCGCTTTTGTTTTATCTAAACAATGATGTAAAAGACTTTTAAGAACCTTCGCCGAAAAATACAGGACACGAAATAAATCTTCAGCTTTACCTATTGTAGGTGCAAGTTGATAAGCGCATCTTCTTAACAATGGCGATACCTCGCTAGGGCTTCGAGTAGCAGGATGAGACCAGAAGGAACTCAAGAGATTAGAGGGCTGATCGACGTTCGTGGATAATGCACACTTTCTCTGCTGCTCGACCTCTTTGAGATAACTCTCAAGTTCACATTCGTCCTGAATGAGATCCTCGTTCGCCAGGCTGTTGTTTAAAGAAATGTTGGTAGATTTATTGAGCGATCCATTGGAGCACATGATCGCTCTAGGAGATGCCAAATTGCTGTATTTAAGAAATGGAACTGATGTCGAGTAATCCTCTGAAAAAAGGAAAAGGCCAGATATAAAGAAACGTTTTGCATAGAATTCACGGCAACACGCTAAACGGGAGTGGCTTGCGTACTGTCGCTCAGAACTGACGAGCCAAGAGTCGTTGAACGCCTGTTAAGGCTTATGCAGGACAAGTTCAACGAGGGACTCGGCTCCGGAGTCGTCTGCCTCTGCGGCACCTCGTCCCTGAACAGGGGATCATCTTCCGAGACTCCTAAAAGCGGCCTTTGTTTAGGGCCGAGTGTAATCGGCTTCAGACTCAAGGTGGCCCAGGTATAGTGTACAACGTGGTACAAAGCATTCAAAGCAAATATAGATGCTAAACACCACTCGATCCAGTAAACCGGTTTGTATATCCATCCGCCGTAGAATCTACAAAACAGAGGCACAATCTCGTAGAAATCGCTGCCGCTTCAAATGCAGATCGAGAACAGAGAGACTCACATGTCAAACATTACGATGCTCAACAACACGCTATTGACAAAGAACCATATGATACTGTGCCGGGCTTTGCTCTGCGTTTGTCTCAGCTCCAGTAACTGTTGCACCTGCGGCTTGGGCGTTAAAACTCTGCAACATGTTTACCGCGGCTTTAGAAAACGAGAAATTCGCACAGGGCTACGTTCTAACCTCATCTTGTTGTAACGTTCAAAGTGGCTTTACCTTGCGTTGGAAGATATGCATTTCATGGGAGAGTGAAAATTACTCATGTTGAAAAATCTATCTAGTCACACTAACGTTGAGCAGTTACTGTTATTACCCTGAATTCTGAGAGGACTATTATATTACTTTCTCCCGCTTCGGCGACTCCGGTTCGAACGTGTTTTGAAACTGCTGCCAACAGTTCGGCGAATCTTCTCACTGCTGCGGCCGTTCGCGAGCAGTTCTCTACCAACCACTGCTAAACTAGGGTAACATCTCTTTATTATATTAGCTGTACTGTGTTATTCAAAACGGAATAAACTTCGAGATTTAGCCAACTGCTCTTTCGAGCAGTTATAAATTTTGATTACTGCATTCATAAATGCACGATATTTAGTACAAAATGTGCCACTTTTATTAAAATTTATTTTCTCTTTTTATATAACAAAATACAATATATTCATTTTACATTTAGATTCAACCACTCGAGCTAAAAGTCTTTTTATATAAAAAAACACATACATTTGTATTCAACGATAATCATTCCAGTTAAAAGTCTAATTATAAGTCCTGCATCCTCTCAACGACATCAATGCTATTTTATTATACAATTATATTACGTTTGGCACTCAGTCAGTTTCACGAGAAGCTTATTTTTTGCGACGTTATCACCTTTAGAGCACAGCACATCTTCAACAATTCCATCTACAGACGCCTTAATGATATGCTGCAAACAGAGGGACGTTAGCCAGATCATATGCAGATCGCGTTGATATTAACGATTCGATAAATTTACCTCCATTTTCATAGCGACAATAACGAGTAACGAATCGCCTTTCTTTACCGCGTCCCCCTTATTGACGAAGACCTTGTCAACTAAGCCGGGCATCGGGCTCGAAGCTGTATATGGATCTTGCTCCGGCTGCCTCGTGATCGCGGTCACGAACTTGGGACTCGGAATAACCAATTGCCATTCTCGATCCTACGAACAAAGTCGCCCCGTAGAAAGATGTACACGCATTACGGTCATTAAATGCCGTGCAATTGATTAGTCACCTTAGTGAATATGTGCAGCTTATTATTCAGCTTCACCGTTCGCGCCTTGGTGATAATCCCGTCAATTTCCGCAAACAATTCTAAAACGCCATCCGTCTTCTTCAAGGTTCCGGTCGCCTTCATCCAGGGCCCTAATCTGTCGACTCTCATCAGATATACATCCGGTTCGGGATACCTCACCTCTACTACGTTACTCTCCTTTCCAACATCGAAGAGAAACGTGCGTTCCAACACGTGATTTAATCTGAGCCCAGTCTCCACGGCGAACGGTGTGAAAGGATCCTTTGTCTCCACGGACATGTTTAACGACTCCATGTCTTCGAGCAATATCGAAGCGAGGGTTCCTTGCATCAGTATTCTGTTAGATGTTTGTATCTTGGGAAATAGTTGCTCAAAGTTCTCCTCTATAAATCCCGTATGGACTTGGCCGTTCTGAAACTTCTCGTGCGCACACAGATCTTTAATAAACTCTATGTTCGTATCCAAGCCAGCTATCTGCAAATATAATGATTTCAATCACTAAACGTAGTACAATCTATAAGTATAATAAGTTCAGCATTAGTTGTTGTGAATCTTCAAGTTTTTAATCGCGCCTCTTACGTTGTAGTCATTGAGCTTCGATGCGAGTACACTGAGGGCCTCGCCCCTGTCCTTTCCCCAGACTACTAACTTCGCTATCATCGGATCGTAGTGCACAGATACCTCGTCGTTCTGTCGCACTCCGGTTTCGACTCTGACGTTCTCTGCTGCCTCAGGAGGTTTCAAGTACAACAGTTGACCGGCTCCTGGTAAGAAACCATTCCTTGGATTCTGTGATACCACGACAACGATAAATCCATTCAATAATAAATGATATCGCGTTTGCACATAACTCGGCGCGTAGAGCGCGACCAGACAAAGTACAGTGGGTCGTTACCTCGGCATAAATTCTCGCCTCAAACGCGTGGCCGTTAAGACTGATCTGCTCTTGTGTGAGCGGGAGTTCTTCCCCGCTCGCCACTCTCAATTGCCACTCGACCAGATCCAAGCCGGTAATCGCCTCGGTGACTGGATGCTCCACCTGGAGACGCGTATTCATCTCCATAAAGTGAAAACTGTGATCGTGACGATCCATTATGAACTCCACCGTTCCAGCGCCCACATATTCCACAGCTTTAGCGGCACGCACAGCCGCTTCGCCCAATTCCCGCCTCAGCTGTTGGGAAATTCCAGGCTGTAAAATATCATCACTTTAGTTTCCTATTTGTTCCGTGAATCTCTACGACAACAAGGGAAAGATACGTACAGCAGGCGCTTCTTCGATCACTTTCTGATGTCTTCTTTGCACGGAGCAGTCCCTTTCAAAAAGGTAGACGGCGTTGCCGTGCTTGTCGGCAAAGACTTGAACCTCCACGTGTCTGGGCTCGGCAACGTACTTTTCCAGAAGCACCGCCGAGTCGCCGAACGCTTTCTCAGACTCGGTTCTCGCGGATTCCAGCGCCTCGACGAAGTCGGACTCCCTCGGAGCGATCCTCATGCCTTTCCCGCCGCCGCCGCGCACGGCCTTGATCATCAACGGGAAGCCAATCTTCCTGGCTTCGGCCAAGAGCGTCTCGTTCGTCTGATCCTCACCGTGGTATCCTACGAACACGCGGAACACCGTAGAGAGACGATTCTGAATTATTGCACGTATTTTAGGATGGGAAAGGGCCATCTACCTTCTATGATAGGAACACCAGCTTTTGTCATGATAGCCTTTGACGTGTTCTTTATGCCCATATCTCGGATGGCACTGGCCGGCGGCCCGATAAATATGATATTCTCCCTCTGGCATAGCTCCGCAAATTCCGTATTCTCCGAGAGGAATCCGTAGCCCGGATGCACGGCTTGGCACTTTGCCCGCTTGGCCACCGATAGAATCTTGTCCCCTCGCAGGTAGCTCTGGCTGGACTGTGCCGGCCCGATGCAGTAAGCTTCGTCGGCCTGCTCCACGTGCATGGAGTTCCTGTCCGCCTCGCTGTACACCGCCACCGTCCTTACGCCGAGCCTCTTGGCGGTCTGCGTTATGCGACACGCTATCTCTCCGCGGTTCGCTATCAGAATCTACGAATTTGTAATTGAAATGAAGCGTACCGGGCGACAACTGGACACGCCAGAAACTGACCTTGCTTATCCTGTCGATCCCCGGTGCGGACTGATGCGAGTTCCGGCCGTACGAGGTTAGGTGACTCCTACGAGCATGTTAGCGATTAATATGCGATCGAGATAATACGTGCAACACGAACAGTAGCGAGAAAATACCGCGTGCCACTTGCCTCCGAAATACTGACTTCAACTTCCCAAGGTGATACATGATTCGCGTGTTTCGACTCGACAAGTGCACAACATGCGCCGGTTGCGACGTAGCGAACACGCCACCTGATCCTTCACATCTCGCTCAGCTGCCAGCATATGCTTACGTGACTGCTCTTATCAGTCGCCTATGACCCTTTGCCCATTTGCAATCCAGTGCCGAGCCCAGTGAAGCGCGCACGTTTCAGAAAATTCTTATGGAAAAAGGCAAAGGAAGATACAATATTAAAAGAGACCAACAATAGCCTCGGAAAGCGCTGCGCACAAAATTTCTCAAAGTCATCTGTTTAATATTAAGGGGATGCTGGAGTGATTCTGCACTTTTGCACCTTTCTAATCTAAAAACTGTCAGTTCACGGAAACATTTGTGTAATATACAAATTAAATGGCTTTACGTGTACAGATCGAAAGCAGCTTGCTATTCCGGCCAAATGAAAGAACAATATGGTATCACTGAAACTAAGTTTGTAAGTCTTAAGGCCAATGTCCACGATGCTAGAACTTGGGCCAAGTTCTAGTTTCGAGAAATCTGTAGCCAATCGACGTGCAGCTATTCCATAAAAGCTGCAAGTTGATTGGCTACACGTTTCTCGAAACTAG